TGACATTCTACAGCATCTACTTAGCCGGCGTGGAGAGAGAGAGGAGCCATGTTTGGAGGATGGTGAATGAAGGAGCCGGGTGAGCAGAGAATCTGATGGCATCAGGTATGAGAGCATCCCTCAGTAACCAGAGCTGCAGCTAAGTGAAGCTGATCGTGTCCAAGACCCTGATCCTGTTCAGAGAAAGGAAGATTGCTGCCAGGAATGCTGATGAGAGCAGAGGAACAAAGCAACATACACTGCGATACCGCATGCTTGTTGGAGAGACATTTGTTCTGTTCAGAGTCACCAGCGGATGCAAAGCAGACCCGGGTCGGTAAGATCATGCACGCACCTCATTTTAGTGTTGGCGCCTAGAGACTGAGACCAGGGCTATAGTTAGTTAGTTAGCGTCTCTGTTTGTGTCAGGCCACCAATGTTATTACTGATCATAGGAAGGACTTCATAACTTAAAGCGACATTTCACATTGGAGAGCTGATAAAATCCCACAATCTCAAGCCAGACTGGTTTTTTGTTTAGAAGGAATACTCAGGCACGTGCTACAGGACCAGTTATTGGAGGGGGAATACTGTAGATCTGTGTAAGATTGTAAGTTGTTGTGCTGCACCACAAGCTAGCCCATACCATACACCCATACACTGATTCCTGCTCTTTTAGGGTAATAATGGGTAAGGTGTGGCAGCTTAGTTGTGCCCGCCAGTAGGTAAATTGCTACACTTTCTACCTTCATCCATCAGATGGCGCTGTGCTGTTCAGCACAAGGTTCTCAGCCTTTATGCTGGGTGTATGTAAATTTATTGTATGTTCTCAGCATTTGTGGTTGTGTTTATTTGCCACATCTAAGTAAAATTCTGTTGTGGCAAAAGCTGGTGTTGGGGTTGCTTTCCTCGTCCGTGACTTCACTGTATCCTGGGGAGCCCACCCCGGTACACGGCTTACATAAGTATTCTTAAAAAAATCATAGGTTTAATTCTTGCAACCATAACAGCCATAATTTTTTTCCTGTTACAACTTTGAGAGTGTTAATGTGTCTATAACAGATGGATTTCCCCCAGTTAGCACTCAGGAAGCAGCAAGTGACTGGAATGCACGTGTCACTTGCATAAGACCAATTGCAGGTAAGACCAATTGCAGGTAAAAATCTGTAATTATGTTTTTTTATTTAAATCCTAGCAATGTGTATAACAAATGCTGAAAGTTTTTGTTTTTACAATGAAATTAGAATGACAGGTTTTCATGTATTTTGTTTACCTGCAGCACGTCCAGTACAGTTACTGGTGCACTTTGCTAAAATCCCCTGCATGCAACACTTGCCACTTATGTTCTCTTGACTGCCTGCGTATGGGATATCCTCCTGCAAGACTAAACCTGCCTAATAGCTATTTAACAATTACATAGCGAGTAAACTTGAAATACAGTAAGCATGGTATCTGTTATAAAGCAGCTCATAAAATCAGTCACATTAAGCATAAATCTGCATTGTGCAGCGTTCAGTAAGTGAGCAGCATGATTTCCCAGCCTAGCTTATAGAAAACAGGAGGTAGCTGTTTGCAAGAAGCAGGGTTTTAATATGATTGGACTATAACAGACAATCTATTTAGAGCATGCTCTAGGGAGCTTATAAACAAATGTTGAGTAATTTCAGCCAGCAGTAATTACCCTTGCAGCTGACAAGGGTAGCATGCTACTCTCTCCTTCACCTTCAGCCTAGTCCAGAAGGCATTGTACACAACGGCACTTACTTCTAATTATTTCTGCAGTTGTAGGGAGAAAAGACCAAAGCATCTTATTATAAAACATTTTAGAACTGTTTTAAAAGCTTGTTTATTGGGACAATTAAACCCCATAACGGTTACAGCTCAGGCAAGATTTCTTTCCAGGGAATGTGATATTAAGCAGAATTTCATACACTATCAGGCAATAAAAACTTATTTTCTGTGCCCTGTGGATAGGCATTTGTAACTGTTTGTGTTGATTTTTAGGCATTTCAATGATAATATTTTTCTAACACATCCACGATTATTTAATAAGGCAGTGCAGAGAGCAGGGATGACTTGCAAAGGGCAGTAAATGACAACAGCAGCAGCCAGGCTCCGGTAACTGAAATCAGAATTAAGATGGATTCTGATTAGCTGATTGACTGTTTTCTTATTTTCACACTGATCTTTCTGCCCTGTTAAATAATCCAGTTTGTGTTTTTAATAATATTTTTTGGCTATGATTTAGATCAGTGTTGTGCATGTCTTCCTCACGTGTCACTAAAGTTGGCCATGGACAGTCAATGGTGGTTGTATGTTTACGAGTAATCTGAACACTGAACCTAAATAAAAATGCCCACTTACACGCTATGAGCATACATGCTAACATGAACAACATTAATTCCCAGGGATGCCTTATCTACAATACAAAAAAGCAGTTTGCATTTTTTGTAAAAGAGATCTGCTAAGAATTTAATTTGAGATAAAAACATATATATCTTACAGACCTTCAGATTATCTCTTTGTCTTTCTTATTTTGGAAGGATAGGCAAGTTCATCATATTTCTTTCTTAAAAAGACCCTGTCGACTAGAGGTACCAGAACATACCTGCAGCAGCCTGTAAAACTTTAGTTGTTTTGACAGAGAAAGAGCTGGGTAGTGTTGGAGCTTGCTGTGAAGCCTTAATCCTATGTATTCCTTTAGTCCATCACTATGATTGACAGCCTAACTCAGTGATGGCGAACCTTTTTGAGCCCGAGTGCCCAAACTGCAACCCAAAACCAACTTATTTCTTTCAAAGTGCCAACACTGCAATGAAACCTGAATATCGAGCTTTTGGTTTAGAAAAAACAACTCGTACAGTAGTGCAAACTAATTAACAGTACAGGGATGACCAGAGACTGCGGACACAGTACAGGGATGACCAGAGACTGCGGACACAGTACAGGGATGACCAGAGACTGTGGACACAGTACAGGGATGACCAGAGACTGCGGACACAGTACAGGGATGACCAGAACTGCGGACAGTACAGGGATGACCAGAACTGCGGACAGTACAGGGATGACCAGAGACTGCGGACACAGTACAGGGATGACCAGAGACTGCGGACACAGTACAGGGATGACCAGAGACTGCGGACACAGTACAGGGATGACCAGAGACTGCGGACACAGCACAGGGATGACCAGAGACTGCGGACACAGCACAGGGATGACCAGAGACTGCGGACACAGCACAGGGATGACCAGAGACTGCGGACACAGCACAGGGATGACCAGAGACTGCGGACACAGTACAGGGATGACCAGAGACTGAGGACACAGCACAGGAGATGACCAGAGACTGGGGACACAGCACAGGAGATGACCAGAGACTGGGGACACAGCACAGGAGATGACCAGAGACTGGGGACACAGCACAGGAGATGACCAGAGACTGGGGACACAGCACAGGAGATGACCAGAGACTGGGGACACAGCACAGGAGATGACCAGAGACTGGGGACACAGCACAGGAGATGACCAGAGACTGGGGACACAGCACAGGAGATGACCAGAGACTGGGGACACAGCACAGGAGATGACCAGAGACTGGGGACACAGCACAGGAGATGACCAGAGACTGGGGACACAGCACAGGAGATGACCAGAGACTGGGGACACAGCACAGGAGATGACCAGAGACTGGGGACACAGCACAGGAGATGACCAGAGACTGGGGACACAGCACAGGAGATGACCAGAGACTGGGGACACAGCACAGGAGATGACCAGAGACTGGGGACACAGCACAGGAGATGACCAGAGACTGGGGACACAGCACAGGAGATGACCAGAGACTGGGGACACAGCACAGGAGAGGACCAGAGACTGGGGACACAGCACAGGAGATGACCAGAGACTGGGGACACAGCACAGGAGATGACCAGAGACTGGGGACACAGCACAGGAGATGACCAGAGACTGGGGACACAGCACAGGAGATGACCAGAGACTGGGGACACAGCACAGGGATGACCAGAGACTGGGGACACAGCACAGGGATGACCAGAGACTGGGGACACAGCACAGGGATGACCAGAGACTGGGGACACAGCACAGGGATGACCAGAGACTGGGGACACAGCACAGGGATGACCAGAGACTGGGGACACAGCACAGGGATGACTGCTGACCTTTGGGGAGGGAGGGAGGGGGAGCGGGTACCTGAATTTGACAGGTACCCGCTCTTACTTCCGCAGAGTTTTTTTTTTTTATCTTACCTGTTCCTCGATCCAGCCGCGCGCTGTCTTCCCGGCTTCTGTAGTGTGGGCGCTCGTCGGACAGCCGGATGCCCAGTGCGCATGCGCGAGAAGCGCTGCGCTTTGTGATTGGTCCGGCGGCTTCTGGGATCTGTCATGTGTCCCAGGTACCGCCTTACCATTCACAAGGAGCACTGCTTCTTGTGCATGCGCACTTGGGACCCGGCTGTCACGCACACTACAGCCGGGAAGACAGCGCGCCGCTGGATTCTCCTGGCGTGCCCACAGATAAGGCTCGGCGTGCCGGCTGTGGCACGCGTGCCACGGGTTCGCCACCACTGGCCTAACTGATTAATTGGAATGCAAAGGAGGCAGGGAAGTGTGGGCAAGCTTCTGCACTAAGAAGTGCTGAAGGTTTGTTTTTCAGTAAGGCCTGAGATTTGCCCATGGCCAGAAGGTGCAGGAGGCAGCTTGAGTACCTGTAGGCAATTCTAAGTGCAACTGTTTGGCGACTGACCATTGCTAACTCAACAGTTGTGCTAAGCACTGCTGGTATTTTTTCTTTCAAGTGTGATACTGCCTGACATCAGATAACCAAAATTAACTGAACTTTGTTTTACTTCTCAAGGCTGCGCTGGCTTATTCTCACGCTCTTTTATTTATGAGGACTTTATTGACAAGGTTTCTCTGCTTGTCCCAACCGCTGCCAGTCTGGACTTTCTATCCACGCACCCCTGATCCATTCACCCTGATTGACTGCCTCTTATTGTAGACCATGGACCAGGGGCGGACTGACCATTTGGGAACCCGGGCACTGCCCGAGGGCCCGGGGTCAGTAGGGGGCCCCATGAGATGCCCCTGGTACTTTTCATAGCCTTTTTTGGGTGTGGTTTGAGTGAGGGCGAGGACACAGGGGGCCCCATGATCCCCTATTGCCCGTGGGCCCCATGAGTTGTCAGTCCACCCCTGTCATGGACTGTCTGCTCAGTCCATGGTCCACACTCAGCTCCCACCTTACTCTCTGCTCCAGGCATGATTCACTGTCACCCTGCCTCTTATACTGTGGATCAATGATTAGCCCCTGAGCCTTTCCCCTCAGCAAAAATCAGCTACACTTTGCCACTAGGGATATACAGAACAGCATCTCCGCTACCCTGGGTTTCTGGTGTATCCTGTATGTTTGAGGTTCATGGACACAGCTAATAAATGCAGGAATTCACCATACCATGTTCTTTGTAACCATAATGCACTGCATGGTAGTTGAGCTTGGGTCAATTGGTATAGAATGGCCAACAATGAGGGCTTTGTTATGTGCCCCCCCACTATAGAAGGATATTTGTGTGTGTGTTGGTGTAGTTCAGGGAGACCTGACACTCTGTTTAGGGAGAGTTATTTGATATACAGTGCTATACTGTGATAGATTGTACTGCTGCCCCCCCTCCCCTAACTTGCATTGTGGTTTAATGTTTAATAACTTATTTTTGTTGTGAGAATAGCATAATTTCCTTTCTTTTGTCAAGACCCTTCTTTCTAGGTCCACAATGTAAACTTGTGACTTACACTGGCAAATCTGTCCTTTGTTTTCAGCACATCACCGCATACTTATATGGTAATAATTGTGCTCACCAAAGCAGCACATATTTATTCCTTCTATTGCCATAGCTGCCAGAGGGATGATCTTGGTCATGTACAAGTATTCCTTGTTTCCAATATTGAGAATGAAGAGGATAAAACCAGGACCAAAGTAAGAAGGGATATCAGGAATGGGGCAGAAAGAGGCAGTAGTGTTCCAGCAGCTGCAGCTTACTGCAAAAGTGGCTACAGTGATGAAGAGACGTTGAAGTAGCAAATCATCCATAAATGCCACCAATGGTAAAGAGGGAACATTCTGATGGAGAGGCAGAACAGCAGTGAAGAATGATTTTGTCCAGGGGCAGAGGCAGCTTGCAGAGGACTGGAAGGAGTAACTGTCCTAATCAATCTGGTGGCACTGTGCACCCCAGGGTAGTGCGGGCTTTTTTAATGTATATATTGCTGACAGCGTGGCAGTCTTTCCTTGCAGCATATCATCTGTGATAAAGATACCAGCCAGCTAGGTACCACATGTATGAGGAAACACATGACTGCACGTTACAGAGCTTAGTGGGAGCAGCACCTCAATCAGACAAGTGGGTAGCACTTTCCATATTCACCAGCCCCCTCCCTCCCATCCTCCTGTTAAATGCAAGTCTCACAAGAGGTTTCCAGTGGCTTAGGATTTGCCATGTTAAGTGGGGAAGAGTGTCACTAGGCCACACTGAGTAGGATCTAGTGAAGCTTGAGCCTCTCAGAATTCTCCCACAACGATACCAGCATATCCAGCAGTATCCTTCCTAAGGCAGGTTTCTCTTCAGCAACTTCTGGAACAGAAGAAAAAAAGCATTAAATCACCTCCCTGCCCAGCATCATAATGCCAGCCTGGCAAAACTGTTGAGTTTGCTGCTGCTCCCATTCCAGCTTGGGAATCATCTTTCTACTGCCAGTTTAAGGTCTGTGCTTCACTACAATGGAAGGCCTTCCCTGCCCTCTACAAACATGTGAAATGCAATGTGTCTGTGTCTTTGGACCACACCGGAAGCAGCAGGGTACACTTGACCATGGTCAAATAGGTCCAGTATGTATGATGTAAGCCCCTTCCCAAGCCCTGGGATTTGTACATTGGTGGGATGAGATTGTTGAGGACAGTGTTCTCCTCAGCAACACTGAAGATTCAGGTTTTCTGCTGCAGACAATTTGTGTGGAGTGGGATCCTTTATGCTCAAATGCTCACACAAGGCCCCAGGGTTCAGGGTCTGAGAAAGAAAGACCACTTTTGGTTAGCAACCCTATATAATCACTACAAGGGATTTACTGCCACCATCCCAGAGGAAGCCCAAATGTGGCACGTTTAGGAGGTGCTGCATGAGAACTTCTTTAATGCATTTTCCTGATGGAAATAAAACCTGCCTCTGCTCTCCTTCCTATATAGTGGCCCAATCAAGCTGCTTAAATACTGTCCAATAACTAAACAAGTGGCCAATATCCGTGAAATAATATACTCTAATTTCTATCGCAAGATAAAACTTGCCTCATCTCTCCCTCTTACCTCTCCCTCTTACATTGCAGTCTAACCAAGAGTACACTTTATTATAGCTTTTAGATCTAATGTGACTGCTTCTTCCACTAGTCAATCAATACCTATTATCATTGGCTAAAAATGGTATCTCAACCAAAACTACCTAAAAAAGTTTTTGTTTTTGAAGTTGAAATTAATCACATTGGGCTCCTGCTGCTGTATTTAAACCAAACTGAATGTTAAAGTTAAAAAGCAATAACATATCAAAAATATTTGATGTGAAAATATGGTGTTGCTGATCCTGTCCATGAAAATTGCTCTGCTCCATAATGCAGCTTAAAGGCTAAGTCCACCTTTAAGTACTCAGTTTCACTGTACTGTACAATGGGTAGAGATGTCATTAACACACAACAACTTTTGATGCCAAATAATAACATGCAAAAATTTCAATTTTACCCCTGAAATGTCTAGTAATGGGACAGCTGCATTTTAAAAGGCGAACCTGTTAGCAATTATAAATACTTAAAGAGCAGAAACCATAAGACACAAGCTAAAATCTTTGATAACCAGAAAACCGGCCTACAGTATGTGTGCCTCTCTAAAATTAGTTTTACTTTGTTGTAAGTTGCATAAGTTCAGAACTATGTCCTAACAGCTGCTGTCAGCTTGTTCAATAAGAGTCTATCATTGGCAAGTAAAGGAACCCCTAATAGACAGACAAATACGTCAACTCAGGCTACCAGTGCCAAAAGGAAACTAGTTTCAGAGAGGCACAAGATGGAGTTTTTTTCTGGCTAACAAATACAATAGCAATCACCTTGTATGGCCTTCTCTTAGGCAGGACTTTAGTTTAAAAAATTAATATGACTGATGTATTCTCTTTATAAAGTCAAGGGGAGGTAAAAAAAAAAACAGGAATATGTTCTTGAGGCCTATGATTTATATCCATAAATGAAGCTTTCGTTATTTTTAGGATGAGGTTTAAGAAACACTGATCTATATCAATTAGTAGAATGTATTAATTAAGAAGAGATGAGGTTATAATAGACGTTGTTAATATTGATTTCAATTTAATATAGCAAGCATTAATGATGTACAAAATTGATGGCAGATGTGATAAGTCATTTGTGTCTTTATATGTACTTGCTACCCACTGAATTCAATAAAAAATGGTAAGTATTAGCACAGACTTATATGGATGTCAATACTTTACATATTTTCCCAGCTTTGACAAATATTTTAAATTTGTATATATGTCTGTCAGACTAAAAACAAATGTTACATATAACTTAGCTTTTTGCAATTATAACTTTCAAATTTGAATTTTGCATTTATTTTTATATTGAATGTTTTAAAATAAAGAGTATGCAAACCCCAACAATGAGCTTCTTTTATTTGCTCCCTTTAAATTGAGGTGATTGTAGCCATATTAGTGCACTTGTGACAGAAACAATTCAGTACTGTCCGTGATACTTTTTTTATTTGCACTAACATACAATTTTGAGGACAAGCTTTCGGGGAATGTCCCCTTCTTCAAGGTCCAAGCAGTAAATATATTTTTGAAAGCATTTTGTTATATCTGTTCAATAAGTGCAGACAAATACCTGTTGATCCTGCCAGCTAACTTGTAAGCAGATAATTTGCTTTGCTCTGCCTGGGTTTGGGCCAGATTTAGATCTTGGGGTGCCCGAGGCACTTCAGATCCGGGGGGGTCTTTATACATAGAGCTGGTTTACATTCTCTATGACAGTCACACATTTTAACTGCTTCCCGTCCTCCCTATAGCAGAAGTACTGCTACAGGGTGGTACGGGTGCGCAAAATCATGTATATATACGTGATTTTGCATTTCCGGTAGGGGGTGCGTGTGCACAGCGCAGCCATGCAAAAAACAGTGTGCTTGCAGAGAAGCACACAGACACAGCCCCTAATAAAAAGCTAGAGATGAGCGAATCGAACATGACGAAGTGGAATTCGTTCCGAAGATTTGGAAAAATTCGATTCGCGACGAATCCGAAGATTAGCAAACTTCGGATGCACGAATCAAATTTTCCCAAAAATGGCGGCGACATGTGTGGCGACAGGAGAAAATGGACAGAGAAGATGGGCGGGGATCTCTGGGAAGGCGCGCAGACAAGGCGCGCTGACCCATAATGAATTCATGAGTCATGAATCATGACATGTGATCGCATTAGCCAATCAGCAGCCAGCCAGCACTGTGTAATGGTGGAGCTATAAATCGCGGCCATCTTAGAATTCTCCATTAGCCTCCGGTCATTCAAGAGAGACAGACCTGTGTGTATTAAGGGACAGAGTTAGGGCCCACAGAGACTTTAGGGCCACAGAATTGTTACTCAGGGACACAGAATCGTTACTCAGGGACACAGAATCGTTACTCAGGGACACAGAATCGTTACTCAGGGACACAGAATTGTTACTCAGGGACACAGAATCGTTACTCAGGGACACAGAAATCGTTACTCAGGGACACAGAATCGTTACTCAGGGACACAGAATCGTTACTTAGGGCCACAGCTATCAAAGAATCAAAAATTTAAAGTGACATACATCCTTTTTTTTTTTGGTGGGCTGTCGTGCACAGTTGGTTCTGCAGTTTGCCGATTGTGCAAAATAAACTGACTTTTCCAGTGACTGCTTCACAACCACTATTTGGTACGTTCAAAGAGTTAAATCCATTTACACGCCGGCTGGCGGTAATATTTTTTGGGTGATTATTGTGCATTCCAGTGACACAAATGTACAGTTTCCAGCCAACGGCAAGCTGCAATTGACCGATTGTGTACAATAAACTGACTTTCTGCTTCACAACCACTATTGTACGTTCAAAGAGTTAGATCCATTTACACGCCGGGTGGCGGTAATATTTTTTGGGTAATTAGTGCATTCCAGTGACATAAACGTACAGTTTCCAGCCAACGGCAAGCTGCAATTGACCGATTGTGCAAA